TGCCGCCTGTGCTGTCTGTGTGGGTGCCACCCACCCACCCATCTGTGCCCATCGGGGCCCTCGGGCCCAGAGTCCATCTGGCATCTTCCTCTGTGTCTGTCGAGTTGTCACCTATGACGGCCACCACCGGCAGCCTCAACTTGCCAGCACTTTTGTTCACAGAGTACAGAGTAACAGAGAGAAAAGCTCTGAATGCAGTGACCTCAGCTTCAACTGAAGGCTTTACATTACAGATATACATGCTTTAAATACATTCACAAAATACACAATCATTTCATTCATAACTACGCTGCCCCCACCTCACTGCAAAATACGAATGCCTCCAACACACAATTCTTATCAGATTTTACACAAAGTCTTTGCACCTCCAACTCACCCACCAGCCATAACTGTCTGGCACCACTGATGCTAGTTTCACATATCCACATTTTAAAGAGGTTACATAATTACACTGTCTGGATGTTAGTTAAAGGAAAAGTTTGGCAATTTGGGACTTTTATACTTCAACTTTCTTACCAAGAGTTCGATTTGAAGATTTATTCCACTCTCTGTATACTACACTGAAGCTAGAGCCAGTATGCAATTAGCTTAGCTTAGCATGAACACAAGATGCAGGGCAAAACAGCTAGCCTTGTATGATATACTATGTATGTATACTTTGGACAAAGCCACTAGCTTTCCCCCGTAGTTCCAATCCTTATGCTAAGATAAGCTACCTGCCTGCTAGCTCTAGCATCATATTTAGCATGCAGACTCGATAGCTATCTCTTTATAGGTTAGCATTTGCTGACCTTTGTTTCAACAGTTGTGAAATAAAAACTGCATGTATCCAAAGAAGCATGGCACAAAAAAAGTAAAGTTAAAGCCGCTTATTCTAATAGGCCACTTTATCACACTAGATATTCTAGATATGCTGAGTAGGTCTACAGTTTTAAGTGAAGACATACCGTTTGATCTTTTTAATAGGTCGCTACAAAGCCTTGGAATCTACATAGAGTTGAAATAAGTGTCAGTGATGGATGATATCAAGCAGCCTGTGGGATCAGACTTCAACTGTAGGAGACAACAGTGTGGCATATGCCCCGCTACATTTAATGAGGATTTCACGGTGAGGGTGGATGAGATCTCGCTATAGTGCTTAGTCTGAGCAGAAGGGATTCTTATGAAGACAAGTTGCAGGCAATTTGCATGTCAAAAAGCCTGGAGACACAAAGACAATGGAGGATTACCAGGGACGCATATAGAAACACAGCTGTCAACGTATTGAGTCTGACACCAGTGATCATTTATAGCCGTGTTTTATTGCAGGGTGGCGCAAGGGTGCTTGTGAGGAATTAAGTTTTAGATTAATTAAAAGCGGTGTCTTCGGCTATTGTGCTCCTCCATTCCCTCACTGGAAGCTGAGTGATCCTGGTTCAAGTTTTATATAACAGTTTACAACATTACAGGGACAGTATGGCATTGTGGGAAATACAGTGCTGTGAGTTAGATGAGAAGATTAATGTTGCCTTTAAAGGGATGGTTCGGATCTTTTGAAGTGGAGTTTTATGAGACTCTTATCCATAGTTAATGTATTCCCTACAGTAGATGGCAGTCTGCAAGCCCCTAGTTTGGAGAAGTTGGCAGGGGTACCAACATGGAAGCTAAGCAATGTAAGTTTTACCGTTTTCGTCAGACAGCGATTTTCAACGGGGAACTGAAGCGGTTATATCACTTTATTCAAAGCCAGACTCCATTGAGAAAAACAGTAATTTAACATCACTGAACACAGTAGTGGCTGGTCTACCGCTGCCTCAACCAGTTGTTTTGTTTGTGTTGTTTTGTTGGGGTTAGTTCGGATTCCCTAAAGTCACACAATATTGCAAACTAACTAACTAATCGAAGCAGCAGCAGACCAGCAACTCCCTTTCTTCAGGGGGCCAAAATTACTGTTTTTTCAATGGAGTCTTTGAGGAGAGCGTAGATGTGGGCCTGAAGCCGTTATCAGCTTCCCTGTCAGAACAGGCTGTCTGACGGAAAGGTAAAGCAGTCAAAATACTCTCAGTATAGCGCACATTTAATCTGTTACAGATTGTTTTAGGTGGGACTTTTTTTTTTAGGTCAGCCTCATCTTTTTTCTGTCATTATGCTTTTGCATTTCCTGAATTTCGTGACCCACTCGCCAACTTGCTAAATCGTTAGCCGGGAGCTTCTAGATGCTGGCAGTTGCTCTTGCCCAGCAGCAGTGCTTTCATGACTTCACCACTTGAATGCCAAGAATATCCTGTACATGGTTTCCCATGTCGTAACCATGAGCTCACAAGTTCCATTTGAAGGCAGCATGATACCACACATCTGTGCTGTCAATATGAGGCTGGAGCCAGCAGCTGGTTAGCTTAGCTTAGCACAGAGACTGTAAACGGGGAAACAGCCAGCCTGGCTCTGTCCAAAAGTCAAAAAATCCACCCAAAGCAAACTAATTAAGATGTTATGTTTTGCTTGTTGTTTTTACTCTGTTTTGGTGTAACAGGCTAGCTTTTCCCCTGTTTCCAGTCTTTATGCTAAGCTAAGCTGACTAGCTGCTGGCTCTAGCTATATATTTACTACAGACATGAAATGTATAAAGTGAACTGGATACATTCGAGGTGAGGCCCCGTTCATACCTACGAAAATGGCTCAGTGGCATATAAAGCCAGAAAAGTTTGACTTCCCTGATCAACCTAACGAGGATCTAGGGGCTGTTTATACGACAACAATTTCAGTAAAAACGGAAAAGTCTGTCCTTCGCGTTTTAAAAAACTTCTGCGTTTATATGACGACGTTATTGAAATGATCCCCGTTCACACGGAGCCGCAAAATCTACTGGCAACGCTGTAGTATGCACACCAGGTCAATGGGTGGCAGTGTAAATTTGCAAAGCAACACCACAGCATGACGCCATGCGCCTGCGCTGAAGCGCCTTCCTCTACAACGCGGTGATTACAAACCAAAACAAAGAAGACACAATGGTGAAAGCATGCACAGATAACTTTGTCTGGATGGACGACGAGGTGGAGTTGCTACAGTAACAGATTTACACTTCACTTCAAATCAACAGGGTGAGCAGCACAAAGAGAGCTCAGCATTGTTGTTGTGACGGTCGGCATGCCTAGTGACTGGAACCGTAATAAGCACGTGCGAAAAGTCTCCGTTTTCAGAGGAACTGCATATTGCAAGTTTACATGACAACAGAGACGCTGCCGTTTCCAAAACGTTGCACTCTGGAACCTGTTTTCAAATCATTGCGTTTTCAGGCACCCAAAACGCAGCTGTCGTGTAAACGATTGGCCAAAACCCAACTAAAGTTTACCGTTTTCAGTTGAAATCGTTGTTGTCTAAACGGGGACCTGGGTTGATAGTGAAATTTATGGAGGTTCGTGGAGGCTGTGATGCTCAAAAACATGTATCCACAAAGTGTTTTTTGGCCCAATGGAATCACGTGACAGACCCAGCTGTTTTAATTCTACTGTTTGACCACTATGAAATCTGGCTTCAAAGCCCAGCACACTTCCCAGGGGCTTGCACACGACTGGTGTCAATCTCTCAAGAAAAAAGTGTATTTCATAAAAATGTCTAGCTGCTCTCTCAAAGCAAATTTTCAGCCCTTAATTAATATTCAAATAGCCTACATATACTTATTTTAAGGTAAGACATTGCATAACGTGAGGACTTACCATGACTCTGACATGCATTCTGTCTCAATAAAGTTGTTATAAAGCTACATTTCTAAACCAAACTCCTCAAGAGAGTCTGAATAATACCACTGGATCGCTGCTTTTAAATGTCTCAGTGTGTCTGCCCCGTACATCAAGACGATTATTCCAAAGGGTAATTAAGAAAATGAAGTCGACTCTTTTTTTACCCCAAGCATATAAATCAATCTCTTCGTCGTGAATTAGATCCCTGAGAAGATTTAAGGACCAGCTGTCTTATGAAGTCTTCAAGTGCCCATATGTTGCCACTCCGGTCCAATTGGAGGCAGCCAGTAAAGTATCATTTGACACATGTAGGTGTCTGGATGAGCGATTGATATAACTGTTTTTTACAGGGCTACGGATTTTATGCGTGAAGTCTGAAAAGTGTGGCTTTCGGAGGGGCTGAGGTCTCTGTCATCTAAAAAGATCAATTTATGTCTGTCTATCTTGTGGAATATTTCAGTACAGAGTCGATTTTATAGGGCTGCTATAGTGATTATTACATAAAGGCCTCTGAGAAGGAATAATGGTAATTGTTTCACTTGATATCAGTGAAGTATTGCAGGTGGAAACTGATGGCACTGACTCACCAGAGGGGGCAGCACCTCCCCAGAAAATACACCCCACTCACTCCTGCTTCCTGGAAAACCCTCACACACACATATTAACACTGCATACACATGCACAGACACACCATGTCATCAGCCTGTTACTCACAGCCCTCCTGCACCCAATAACACAATGACTTATGTTATTCTACTGCAGGTAGGCAAGAAGGAGGCTTAAAATGGAAAAGCAATTGGCTATATTTTAAAGGCTGCGTGTGTATGTGTGTGTGTGGTGATGCATAACATCCCCGATCACTCTCTTTTCCTCTGTCATGCCAGTATCACTCCCCTCTCCTCCCCCCCGGCTCTCGAGACACATCTGTCTCTTATTAGCCCTGCGGTTGCTGCAGGTTGTCATCCGGCTAATGGCTCCTGTGATGTTTCTCCTCAGTCGTGTCACGTGCAACAATGTTGTTATTATTACCATAGGCAGTATAAATGAACCAAGTGCTATATTGGACATGTATATTAGCCTCCCGAGGGAGTGCTGTCAAGTGGATGAAGAATATTGGCTGGGGGTTTCATTAACGTGCGTGCATGGAGTTAAGACCTCATTTACAGACTACTATGTTTGGTGCAATAGCGCTAAAATCGGAGGCGTTTTCCATCAAATGTTATGGATTATGACTCACGTAGCTGCAACACACCATGCTGAAAATGATCAAAGACACCAGACTTATTTCTGTACATAAAAATGGGAGTTTAATTGAAACTTTTGTATCAAAAAATAGCAATATCCATCCTTCACAGCCACAAGTCACACAGCTAAACTGAAAGGTCTTCAATATGAGGCTATGTGACAACTACGAAAGCTGTTCCACCCGTAGTTGAGCTTTCCATAGATCTTTTTAAATTAATATTGACAGTACAGAAACCAGATGGATTTCTCTGATAATTAGCCATTCAACATTACCAACAGACTTTTTTTTAATTTTAAAGTAGTTAAATAACATTCAAATGCTCTTTTCAATTTTAAGTAAACTTGTTTTATTCCACTTTACATCGACAACTGCTTCAGTGCATCCTCCACATCTCAAAAAAACTCCAATGTCGAAATGTAAAAATAAGTTATAGGAATGAAAACCAAAGGCCATGTAGGATATGCAAAATTTAGAGGGGATTTTAAGCATAGACAATAAATAAATAAATAGCCACAGAGTGTGGAATGTCTACATGTTTACAAATAAATTAAATGCAAATGGGGAGGAAAAATAATGTACACACAAAAAGAGAAGAAAAAAAAAACACTGTACAATATTTGTTGAAAAAAAAAAAAACAACAACAACATAATTGAGTCCATGAATATTGCATTGATTGTGCATTTCACACCCCAAACCCTGAGGGAGGCCAGGGGCGGGGGCCATGTAGTGTCAAGCAGTGAGATGGCGGGAGGCAAAAAGAAAAGTCAAGAGGGCCACACGCCCCGCAACAGGCATGGGGTGAAGAGAGAGGGGGGAGAAAAAGGTGGGGGGAAGGGAGGTGTGTGTGTGTTGACATTTTTTGTAGACATTCAGAAAAGACAGGATCCAGTTTCAAAACACCTGTTTAGGCTATAGAGTGAGTGAGCAGCGTTAAAGAGAGCGACACAGAGTTGAGTCGAGTGTTTTTTCAAGTATTCCATTGTCAGGAAGAGCCCCCACCTCCTTCTCTCCGATCTAATGCTATCTTAGCCTCTTGGCTGGGGGCTGGTTGGCTTACAGTGATGGAGAGGAGGGGAGGGGGGGTTGGGGGATAAAAACACAGCCTTAACCCGTCCTTCCATTACAGCACAGGCAACTTAGCCACCAGCCCGCGGGCAAATCCAAAAAACAGAGTTTGTTGACGAAAGCCCCCCAGAAAAAAGCAGCTTTCCAAAAAAAGGCACTACAAAATCAAAATTAAAACATTTAAATAAAAAGGTTTTCTCCAAGCTCTATGAGAGCAGCCATGTCTGAATAGGAGGGCCTTGCCAGCTGCATATACCAGCCTAGTAACAAAATGAGTAAAATAAAGTTAAAAAGTAGGGAGGGGGAGGAGGGGTAAATAAATAGTGCTGGTAAGACCGCCCAAACAGAAAAATGTTCCCGATTAGGAAACAAGATAATCAACTGAAAGAAAACAAGAGGGGATGGGGGTAAAATAAGATAAGGAAGAACAAATAGTAATAAATTAGAAATTCCCTACAAAAGAGGAAAATTAAAGTACATTTTTCTTGCCGGACCAGCTGAGTCGAGCGCTCGGCCGCTGATGGGCCAGCTGGGCGACAGGCTGCCGGCCTTGAGTCCATATCACCCCCTTCATCCAAACCCCTTCTTTCCCCAGAAAGTCTTTTTCAAGTCCATCAGAGCCGCCCTCAGAGGCTCTCCTTGCTCGAGCTTGTGCTTGACGAAGAGTCTGTGTCGATGGTCCTGAGGCGGATGTCGCCGGCGACCGGCTCCTCTTGTGACTTGGGCGACTCAGTTGTCGTCGCCCTCATCCAGGGGTGGTCGCAGATCTGCTCCAGGGTGGGCCGGTCTGAAGGCCGCAGGGCCAGGCACCATTTGATCAGCTGCTGGCACTCTGGAGGAGGAGACAGACAATGTTTAGGATAAGAATGTCTGAGCTCAAAGAGAGAAATTACCAAGTGTTTTCTTCTTCCTGTGCTGCCTATGACTCAGTTTGTATGGATCTACAATACCCTTGTATGTAGGCGGCACAGACAGCCAATAGAGTGAGAGCACATATCCCTTTATTGAGTTACCTCCCTGGAGTAACCAGGGCTGTTACACAAAGTGCACCCTGGGAAATCATCACAGTCTAAAATCACAATTCTAGTTATCAATCATAAATCTGTCTACCAGCCATTTCCGTAGTTAATCCATTATGACTGTGACGTATCACTCTGATGCAAAGTGATTCATAATAGAGCCAAATTAGGAGGTGGGTTTTGGGCTGTACCGGTTTCTGTGGCTAGAGGGCAACAGAGCTGATTCATGTGCTGTGTGTTGTTGTGGTCGACTTACCGGCTGAAATCCTCCTCCTGAAGTACAGTCTCCCTCTGAGGATCTCCTCGTCTTGCTCAAAGGGGATGTCTCCACACACCATGTCGTACAGCAGCACGCCTAGTGACCACACCGTTGCCGAGCGACCATGGTATCTATGAAAGCGGATCCACTCTGGTGGGCTGTACACTCTTGTACCTAAAGAGAAAATAGGGAGAGATAAGGGTGAGTGGTGTTGTGAAATATAATCTAATGCTTTACATGTGATATTATAAGAGTATAAAGGGCATCAGTGCTCAGAGGAGACGGGATAGAAAAGGCCTGAAATAATTAATGTGTCTGTGTCTAAAATGGCTGAGTCATAGTAGAAATGCTTTCCATCTTCCTTTTGCCACAAAACACAAACTGGGTGACCTCCCTCCTCCCTCCCTCCCTGCTTTCTCTCCCTCCTCCCTCTCCTGGAAGGAGGAACTTGGATACAAAACAAAAAAAAAACGGCAATGTGAGCCCATCACGTGAACCGCCGACTCGGGTTTCACAACAAACAGATGTTACGTGGCACTGACCTATTACCCACAAACTGCGACGGTGACTCGAGCCTTACCGACAAAATAACGACCGGAAACATCCAAGTACAGCAAGTCTCACAAGACGAGGATGAATCAGAGATAAAAACGGCCACCAATGGGCTTGATAAAGTATGAGTCATGTCTGTGGAGCCATAACATTCGCGTCATGCATTCCGCTAAAAAATAAATACAAAAAAAAAAAAAAACACTGGACGCTTTTCATTTGGCAGCATCGATTTACATCCGTAATAACGATGAGCACTGAGACCCTAGGCAAGGAAAACCCTCGACCAAAAACAGACCACTGCGTCACAGCCTCGTGAACGCCTCCATATCTGAATATAGCACAGCGGAGCATCAAGGGCAAATACAACCCAGCCCACACGGATATGCATTCATAACAACAAATTACACATCCAGCACCGTGACATCTTATAACAGCTATTAATCTAACAGGAGAGAGTTGGATTGGGCTGCTTACCATCGAAATCGGTGTAGACTGTGTCCTTGAGAATCGCCCCTGAGCCAAAGTCAATAAGCTTGAGCTCCCCGGTGCGTAGATCCACAAGCAGGTTCTCATCTTTGATGTCTCTGTGTACTACGCCGCAGCTGTAGCAGTGTCTGACCGCCTCCAAAACCTGGCGGAAAAAGCCCCGAGCCGTGTCCTCGTCCAGGGCGCCCTTCTCGGTGATGAAGTCGAAAAGGTCCTTGACGAGCTCCGGCCTCTCCATGACGATCAGCCAGCCGTCCGCGCGCTCGTAATAGTCCAGCAATTTGATAACTCCGCGAAACGACGAGCTGACCTTCTTCAGCAGCAGAATCTCCAAAGGCACCATAGCTCCATTCTGTGTTAAATAAATTAAATATATTGTTTAAATACACAGCCATTCTCCCTTTCTTTTGCATCACAACACCCCCACCCAGCAGCAGCAGCAGCAGGCGGGGGGAAAAACCAAAACAAACCACACACACACAGATCGGGGATGACTACTTACAATTGTGCCCCACTCCGTCACCCTCTCCTTCGCAACATGCTTCACAGCCACCTGAATTAACACAAAACAGGAGAAAATGGTAAGCAAATGCTTTAAATACAGTGGAAATATCGCATTATGTGCCCCAGTGGCGATGCAGGGACGCCCCGGCTTTCATGGCGGCACATGTCGGATCAAAACACAGACCCTGCTCCCCCAGTCCTCATCCTTACCGGTGCGCCATCAGAGATCCGGCTGCCGGCGTACACCGTCCCGAATCCTCCGCTGCCTAGCACGGATCCCACTTGGTAAACCTTCTCGAAGGGCTCCTTTTCCACTTTAACTGCAAGTAAAAGTGAAGATTGTTGAGTAAAGAGCGACATACTCCTTTAGCTATGTATACTAGCTTTACCGGTCATCTGAATTAATCAAGCGAAGTAAACAAATCAAACCAGTGTAAAAGATGGTGACTAGATAACGGTTAGTAACGGTTACCTAACTTACCCGGCTGGAGCTGTATTTTCACTGGTAGATGGTCCATGCTTGACGGGTTGCAAATGTGCGAAAATGAACCAAACTTTGACAACAACATATTCAAGCTGAAAAGCCGACGCAGACGATCCCTGTTCACCCACTGGGAGCCAGAAGGAGCAGTGTAAATCAGACGCGAAGTGACTTCGGGCGCAGTCTAAATGCTGGTGCGGACCGTCTTGGCTTCAAGCGAATAAATATATCCAGTCCAGCAGTGCGCCAACTCCGCCGCACCGCGCCCGTCAAAGTCGTCTCACGACTGTGAAGTCGTAGCCCGCTTCCAGAAAACCGGCATGAAAACTGACTTGTGTGTGTCGACTCGAGCGAAACAGACGAAAACAGTCCTCTGAAGTGATAGAAAAATCGAGCACTCCGATGTGTGTAGTAGCCGTATCGACTATGGAGTGCGTTTAAAGGGCCTCCGCAGCGTGTTGTTATCCTGAAGAGTGGCCGCTGTCTGAGCTTTGGCGCGGTCTCCCTGAGCCAGTATTTTGACGCGCAGTGTGATGCTGGTATCCCTCCGCCACCAATACAAGTCGACACGTTCGGTTAATTCCTGCGTAAATTCGCCTCTTTTCCTTAGATACACATCAACACGCACGTTTTGGACACATATTATAATTTAATCACACTTTTGTTCGGAGAATATCACCGAAATAACCCTTTTCACCGCGCACTATTTTCTCATAGTACGAGACGCCCAAGAATCCCTTGTCTGGAAGCTTTGCGCTGTGTTCACTATCGGCTCGGAGGCGACGACCAATCAGATGTCGTATATAAATACCGTGTTTTGTGTGTGGACCAATCCAGACAAAGTTATTATAATAAAGCAGACATTTGAGCGCACGTGGCGGCAATTCTGAGACGTCCTCTCCCCTCCCTTTTCCTCCGCAGCTCTGCAGTCAGACACAGACACAGGGTTTGTTTGGAGGGGGAAAGTTCACTTTGCAGTGTGATTCACCGCAAACTACTGATTACCTCTTTCAAGTTGTTCTCAGCTGCAAAGTGTGCACCTAAACCCACTTGTGTTATTTGTTTACCCCTTTGCCCTCAGGAATTCACAACACTTAGAAATGAGCTGTTAGGCTTTTGTTATTGTTGCACAGGTGAGAATAATAATAATTTAAAGATCTCTATAATAAGTTTGTGCACACACTTGACTCTGGGCACAGAGATGCAAAAGGCCCCACCACCTCTCCTACACAGGAGCAACACACACAGACTTTGTGGTGGCTTTGCCTCTTTTTGTTGTTGCTGTTTTGCATCTCATTGTGGTAATTTTGTGCATGTTTGTAATTGCTTTGTGTCTACTTGAGCCCATTTTGTGTCTCTTGGGGTGTATCTATCTTTTTGTTTCTTTTTTGGAGTTGTTTTGTGTCTCTTTGTAGTTCATTTGCAACTTATAGTCATTTTGTGTCTATATAAAGGTAATTTGTGTCTCTTTGACATACATTTATGTATTTTTGTACTATTTTGTGTCTCTTTGTAGTCATCTTATGTCTATTTGAGGCCATTTTGTGTGTCTTTAGTGTTTATCTGTGTATTTAATGTTATTTTGTTTATTTTTGTGGTTTAGTGTCTCTTTGTAGTCATTTCATGTTTCTTTGAGGCCATTTTGTGTGTCTTAAATGTATATCTGTGTCTTTTTTTGTCATTTAATGTTTTGTTTCTTGTTTGTTGTTGTTTTGTGTCTCTTTGAGGTATAATTGTGTCTTTCTGGCCATTCTGTGTCTCTTTGTAGTCATTTTGTGTCTCTTTGAGGCTATTTTGTTTGTCCTAGGTGTATATCTGTGTCTTTTTTTGTATTGTAGTTTCTTTTTGTAGCTGTTTTGTGCCTCTTTGTAGTTCATTTGCATCTCTTGTAGGTATATTTGTGTCTATTTGTAGTTGTTTTGTGTCTCTTTGAGGGCATTTTGCGTGTTTTAAGTGTTTATCTGTTTCTTTTTTCTCATTTAGTCTCTTTTTATAGTTTTTTGTTGTGTCTTTGTAGTTCCTTTGCAACTTGTAGTTAATTTGTATCTCTTTGAGATACATTTTTGTCTATTTTTGACCATTATGTTTCTCTTTGTAGTCATTTCGTGTTTCTTTGAAGTGTGTCTTAGGTGTACATCTGTAACTTTTTTTGTTGTTTACTCTCCTTTTGTAGTTGTTTGTGTTGCTTTGTAGTTCATTTGCATCTTGTCGTTAATTTGTGTCTCTTTGAAGTTTAGTTGTGTCTTAGTGTCTCTTTGTAGTCGTTTCCTGTTTCTTTGAGGCCATTTAGTGTGTCTTAAATGTCTTAAGTGTATATCTGTGTGTGTTTGTTTTTTGTCATTTAGTTTGTTTTTGTGTTTTTTTTCTTGTATCTTTGTAGTTAATTTGCAACTTGTAGTTAATTTGTGTCTCTTTGAGGTTTATTTGTGTCTTTTTTGGCCATTTTGTGTCTCTTAGGTGTATACCTGTTACTTCTTTTAGCTTCTTTTTGTCGTTTTGTGAACTTGCAACTTTGTGTAGTTCATTTGTATCTCTTTAAAGGTGTATTTGTGTCTTTTTAAGACATTGTGTGTCTCCTTGTAGTCGTTTTGTGTCTCTTTGTGGCTCCTTGTCATTGTTGTAGTATGGCGTGTCTTTTTGTCTTTAGGTCAATTTGTGTCCCTTTTGGGCATATTTTTACCTTTTGGCATTTTGTTTCTATTTGTAGTCACTTTTTTTGTCTCTTTGCAGTTCCTTTGCATGTCTTTGATGTTGGTTTTTGTTTCTTTAAAGAAAATGTGTCTCTTTGAGGTAATTTTGTGTCTCTCAGGGGTATATTTATGTCTTTTTGTTGTTGTTTTGTTTCACTTTGTAGCTGTTTTGTGTCTCTTTAAAGGTATATTTGTGTCATTATGTCCAGTTTGTGTCTCTTTGTAGTCATTTGGTGTCTCTTTGTAGTTCCTTTGCATCTCTTTGTAGTCATTTGGAGTTTCTTCCTGGTTGGCACATTCTGATTTGAGTGACATTTTGCGTATCATTTGGTTAATCTTTTTTAACCAGGAAAGTTGATTTGAGATTAAAAATCTCTTTTTGAAGTGAGGTGTCCTATAAGCAGCATTGTGATACAAACAACATATGGCACATGACAAAATTCACCGAAATTAGAGTAAAGAAAAAGCTGTAATTTAATTATTCAAACGTCATGCATTGTGCCTCCTAGAAACGACCTAAATGGCACCTTAAAAGAGCCCAAATAAAACCAAACCTAAAAGAATGGCTCCCCGGGGAGAGAACACAATGTTGCTGTATGTGCCCTAGTGCCAAAAGGTAGTGTTTACTGCCCTAGGATGACACCACAACAGCCTACGTTACTCACCGGCAGTATTTGAATGATGATACACGAGAACACTATGTCAGGCACTGGCTTGAGTATGAAAACAAAATAGCACATGACAACATAATCAGATGTACACGATTTGTGAAGCCAGCTGTCCCATTTCAGAGGGTGAACTTTCCAGTTTTACTGTTACACATCTGACATGACCTTGGCTCTCAGTGAATTCTCCACTTTTTATCTTCTGCTGCCTCTGATAGTCTGCGTGTATATTCATGTGTGTGTGTGTGTGTGTGTGTGTGTCTGTGTCTGTGTGTCTGTGTGTGTGTGTGTGACCACTAACCAAACAGAGGCATCAGAGAGTTCCAGGGAACCTTATCTTGCTATAGGCCTGCCGAGTGCAAAGTTATGTAAATGTACACACACTCGGGCTGCAGATGAGAGCAGAGTAACAGCCTGTGGGCTAACCGGCAGTGATGCTCTGTATTCAGCGTATGATAATTTACACTGCTTCATGTTTTCAGTGCATTGTCACTCACACATGTTGAGAAAACATACTGTATTAACACATTTGTGCATGGCTTTATGTTTTTCAGCGTAATAACACTGTATGCACACGTGCACACAAAGCTTTATGTGCAAATAAAGAAAACATGTTAAGAGGACACATGAATGTATTCAGACATACAGTATTTGCATTTTAAGGGATATACTACTAAACACATGGAGATTGCATGGGAGCATACGGAAGAACCTCAAGGGTGGATTCACTTTTATCTTATAAAACATTTGCATTAATGACAAAGAGTTCAATGGTTTATTGGATTATGCTTCAAAGGAAAGCAACAGTGTATCCCCTGCAGGAAAACCTTCCACCTCTCCTGCATGATCATCCTGTGGTCATGGGTGTATTTTTAGAGGCGCTGTGCCTCTGACCTACAGTTGTTATTAGTAGTTGCTTAATGTTTTATATACAATGGCCTTTTTAATGTTCTTTTACTGGATGCATTACTGAATGGGCCTGTTGGGGACAGGCACATGGGCCCTAAGTGTCAGGGACCCCCAGGCCTTCACCTAAAAAAGGTGTCGCTCTGAAGTCGTCGAAATCGGACACTTGGGCAGTGACAAGTCTGAGTAGGGCGGGTGGGAGGGGTCGTGGATGGGTCATACAAACACCAACTTTCACCTAGGAGAACGATGTTTGCGTTGCGTAAGAGTGTAAAGCCAAAAACGTGTTTTTTTCTGAAACCCAACCACATGTTTTTGTTGCCCAACACCCAACCACATGCATTAGTTGTTGGAGGGGAAAAAAAAAACGTCAAAATTTCCTGTGAAAAAGGAGGTGTATTTTGAAAGAAGTCAATGCATGCAACAGGCAGAAGTTGACACGGCATGCCGGCAACAACCAACAACCAACGAGGGTACCTTTGACGTTGTATCTGGACGTGGGAAGTCCATGACCAAACATCGATATGTGACGAGGTCGGAGTGAGAATGTGTTGCAAATAAACACATACTGTCCAGGAAGACAGTCAAAATAAAAAGAGAAATGCAAACAAACTGCAAGGAACCACAAAATAATGACAAAAAGGGGCAAAACAACCACAAAGAGACACAAAACTACCAGAAGACATCAAATTATGACACACAAAATTATCACAATGACACAAAAACCTAAAAGGATGCATAACAACTACAAAAACAACAAAAAAGAGGCAAAACCACTACAAAGTCTGTGTGTCTTGTTCCTATATAGGAGAGGTGGAGGGGCCTTTTGCATACTGTATTTGTGCACACGGGCCTACTGTCTCACGATCGGCTTACACTCCAAAGTTATTTCAAAAGCCAAATCTCTTGCTCCTTGGCTTGTCCGAGGCTTGTCAGATCATATCCATATGCAGTTATCAGCTTGAATGAGTTTTTATTTCTATGGCTTTTACCCAAAAACTGGACTGTCCTCATTTGCACTTCTGTATAGAGTGTCACTTCACATGAAGTTACACTCACAGCTGAGGAGGGTACTCCGTGTTGCAGAGGAGGGTGTGAAAAAGGTGTACTACTTTCTATTCTCAGCTTGAAAACAGATGCAACAGGTGTTTCCAAATAATATGCAGGATAGCCCTCGGTATGGTATGTTCTTCATGTAAGTGTGCAAATCGAAGTTGGAGTTGATAGGGGTGAAGG